TTGGTAGGGGTATTGTTAGGTGGTGTCAAAGTGTTGTGATTAATAGAAAAGGTGACACTCTCGATTCTGTATTGAGTCATGAGAAATAACAAAAGAGCATGATATTTGATGATTGGTGAAGGCATTGTCAGATAATATCCTGAACTACTTAATACTTTTTTAGTTTATAGTGTTCCATTCTCCGTAATCCTTTCTCTCTATTCCTAAACTATAATTATTAGTTTCTATGCTTCATTTGGGAAGAAAAAGCCTGGGGCTTTTTGGCTATTTTAGTTACAAAAAAACAAAATAGACTTTTTAGCCCAACAAGACAAAACATCACATCCAACCCATAATCATTACATTTTTCTCTCACAAAAGTCAAAAAAACCAAAAAAATTCATCCTAAACGAGGCTTTTTAGCCTGGGCTAAAATAACCAAAAAAGCCAAAAAGTCGACCCACTTTCCAAACGAACCTGAATTTAGAATTCTAGGAAAAATTGAGAATCAAACCAACCACTTAAAATGATTTTAAAATAACTTACACCCACACCGATCAAAATATAACAGTTAAATCCTTCTTATATTAGTAATATTTTGGGTATATTAGAAAATAAATGACTAATACTATATATTTTTTAACAAAAATTAAGAGAGACATTTATAGAGTATCTTCTACAACCTCTCTTCATTTATTCTCAATATGAGATTTTATAAATTTTTACGAAATCCTTAATACCTTCTATGTACCCTTTATTTACAATAAAATAAAAAAAAACAAACAAAACTAAATACTAAGCCCTCGTTTGGCATGTGATTTTTTTTGAGGTTGGGGACTAATTTAGTCAAAAAAAGATAAAATAGGCTAAAAAGTTAATAACACAAGATATCATATTCAAACTATAATTATTTTACTTTTTCTCTCACAAAAATAAAAAAAATAAAAAAATCCAATCCAAACAAACTTTTCCATCAAAAAATAAAAATCCAATCCAAAAAATCCAATCAAAAAATTAAAATAATCATTTCACTTTTTCTCTCACAAAATATCATATTCAAACTATAATTAGTAGCCCTAGACATAGTCAAAAAGCCAAACCACTTCCCAAACGAAGCCTAAGAGCATCACCATCAAATTAGTTATTTTAATATTTTAACTAAAATAGTGAGTAAATCACTAAATTTCACCTCCATCAAACTATAACTATAAAGTTAGTCATTTTAATTTTGGTGGTTTTGATTCAACAAATGTAACTAGTGTTTTCATCAAGTCAAATATTAAAAAAATACTACTTTTCATATTTTGAAATTAATCATGTTCAATTTATAAAAAAATAATACTAAATTAAAATGAATAAAAAGAATATAGAAAAAGAATAGAGAGTTTGTTAGATAATGTATTTAAGAGCATTAGTATCAACCTCTTCAAAATTTTAGTCAAATTATAACTTAAAAAGCCATTCTTCTATTTTAGCTAGTCACCCCACTGCATCAAACTCTCCATTTTAACTTAATGCTATTAAAATATTTGTTATTCTTTTTTTTTTATAATTAAATTGATGAGCTATGAACAAAACAATTCTTATGTCTTACAAAAGGTAAAATTGGAGGAAATGTAAAAAATAAATAAATAAATAATAGAAATAATAAATAATTACTGTTGACCGGTTGACCGGCCAGACGTCTGGTCAGACTTCCGGGCGGACGTTCGATAATGCACAACTAGTGATGAACAGTGCCTCGTTTGTTGTAGCGATGTACTGTAGCACTCGTATATTAACGATAAACAGTAGCGAGACTGATGCAGACCATTTTTATGAACAGTACCACTAATCTAGCTAAAAAATGAGTTTAGCTAACTTGATACGGATGCTCTAAGAAAGTGTATAGTCAAAATAGAAAAAGTAACTTTCAAGTTAAAATATAGTAAACTTTTAATTAATTTGATGGAGATGCTTTAAAATATGATCGTTTTCAATTCCTTAATACTGTATTTAGTTGGAGGGATTTTGAGAAAGATTTGAAAAGGAAAAGAGAAATGGTGTGTGAAACGAGTTGAGATATAGATATATTTTATTCACATTTTATATACTTTTTTTTATTTTTCATTTTAAATCCCTCCTTAAATTTTCCAATCAAATGCAAAGTAAACGAACCAGATTGGGTCCAAAACCAAAACTAAAACCAAAACCAAAACCCAAACCCAAACCCAAAAGCCATTGATGTGGGCTCGGGAAAAGGCTGGTCCATCTACCCGGGTCCAAAACAAAACCCATAAAGCAGCTTATAGAGCATAACTAGGGTGTACAATTAGGGCTTTATTATTACTTCAACCACTCTCTAGTCCTCGCTCTCGTCTCCATCTTCCAAATCCAAGCCCACAGGTCTCTCTCTCTCTCTCTCTCTCTTCATTAAATCTTTCTATGTGCTTGTCGATTACATTGAGCGGATTTTTCTATGATACATGAAGGTGGTTTTCATATATCATACATAAATAATTTTGGACCATTAGATATAAAAGTAAACTAAATCTAACTATTGATTGATAATAATAAAACCAGGTTAAGAAATCTAGGTAGTTTCGTAAAAAATAAGGTAATTTTTAATGGTTTTGAAACCAAAAAGTGGTTTTTAACTTACCACAATAACTAAGTATACTTATTATTTGATGTGATTATACTTACTATTATTAATAACTATACTTACCATTCAATTATGCAAATTTGTTTTTTTTTTTTTTTTTTTTTTTTTTTTTATGTGAATTGAGATTGATTTATGGTATAACAAATGAGCTGAAGAGTGTGTTTATTTGCTTGTATGGTTGAGTAGTGCAGGCATTGCTGAGTAGTGCTGCTCGAAGAGAGAGAGAGAGAGAGAGAGAGAGAGAGCGAAAATGGTGGAGAAGACGAAGGGAAGAAAGGAAGAGGTGGTGACTAGGGAGTACACCCTCAACCTCCACAAGCGAGTACACCATCAACCTCCACAAGCACTTGCACAGCTGGTACTAATTTATCTATCTATATATGCATTATAGCTTGTTGATTCTATCTGTTACTATATAAAGTTTGATTCTTGGTAGTGTTGAATCAATTGGTTATGTAGTTGTGAAGGGTTATCTTAATTTTTGGTTAATTATATTATTGATAATGCTTTTTTAAATGTTTCAATAATCAGAATCATCTATTTGTTATAGTTCTTAGATTTAACATAAAATGTGAATCTATTGTGGCTCCTTATGTTTCTGAATCTATTTAGCCATGCCTTTGAGACCATAATTTGAAATTTACGGTAAAATAATTAATCCCTGAAAGCTCAATCTTAGTTGAGTACTTTACATTAGAGTGGATTCAAGGTGAGCAAGAGATACATTGCCCGCTTATTGAATATGTCAGTTTTCTTATGATCGTGATTTGATCGGTTTGGTTGAACAATTAATGTTCAGAATTGGTTTCTTCTGTTACAGTATTGTGCATTTTTTCCATGCAATATTGTACAGAGTTGTGTTAAAATCTGTATTCTTTTCATGCAATCGGTATTAGGGTTTTCAAAGTGGCTCTTTGATGTAACTAGCTTGTCTATGTGATGTAATGTAACTGAGTAATTTCTGAATTGTTAGCTCTGCATGACTTCACTAAATAAATATAAAGTAATTGGTGAGAGTTTAGTTTTGGGAAATGGAGATGTCACTTCTGTTGATGCTGTTAACTGTAACCGTCCCCAAATACTTTTTAGCTCGCATCTTTGACAACCTTGTGCAATTGGCTGGATGATGCTATTTGTTCCCCAGCCCGCGGTTTCTGCTCTCAGGATGTACTGTGGACAGTTGGTGTATTTCCTAGTTTTTTATAGCAATCTTAGTTCAGATCGGGAACATGTGTAGGTTGTGAGATTGTTCAACCTTCATGTGGTTGGTTTAAGGTGGGGTCTCACATTTGGTGCTTTTTTTCATATGGAGACTGTTACATCACCCATGTAAACAGACTGTCATTATGATACACACCTTTGTTCCCTTTTATTACTGAAATTACAACATTCCCTCCCTCACACTGTTTCTCTGCTTTTGTTTTTACCTGACTTCATAAAACCGTGCTTGGCAATGATGCATATACTAGTGAATTGCATGATGGGTCTTGTATTTAAAAGAAAAAAATTATCGTCTTTACTGCCTTTGCATCTTTTGATTAATGCTAAAAAGTGAACGAATCTTTATGATTCATGATTTGAATTCCAATTTGACAACTATGTTACCGTGTACATTTCTATCACATTTTTTTCATTTTGTTTGAGTAACTATAGAATGACTGAGATAACCTTGTACGACCACACGTATCAATTGTCTTTACATGGTTGACCTGTATTTTTTATAGCAATCCCGGGTTTACCCTTGTTGTACAGTGATCCGGACATGTGTCCGTGGATGTTGGTAGTTGGTTATTATCGTGTTTACATTCCTTTTTCTTCATATTTGAGTTATAGGATGTGTTAGGCAGGTTTGTTACAGGTTGGTTGTGTTCGGGAGCCTTTTGAGGGCGTTACATTTTTTATTTTTGCTTGAACTGTTACTTATTCTGTGATATATCATGAGATAGGATGTGATTGTGTTTTTTGTACTGTCATTGTAAATAACAGCACACTCAAGATGGCGGCGCCTAACGCCATAAAAGAGATCAGGAAATTTGCCCAGAAAGCCATGGGGACAAAGGATGTGAGAGTGGATGTGAAGCTAAACAAGCACATCTGGAGCAGAGGCATCCGAAGTGTCCCAAGGCGGATTAGAGTTTGCATTGCTCGCAAGAGAAATGATGATGAAGATGCAAAAGAAGAGTTCTACTCGCTTGTTACTGTTGCTGAAATCCCACTAGAAGGGCTGAAGGGCCTTGGTACCAAGGTCATTGATGAAGAGGATTGATTTGTCGATACCTTCCTGAGAGTTTTGCGCAGTGTTGATTGTTTTGGGACTCGTTGAGTTTTCCTGATATTTGGTTCGTTTTATTGCTTAGAGCATATAGACTTCAGTGTCTTTGTTTTGGTTGACATAATACAGTTAGTGTTTCTACTTTGTTATGGCTTCATTTCTTCTGCCCTTCAAAAGGGTTGAGTACTATTCTCAATTCATCTTCTCCTGTTTTATAGTCTGATTTTTGTTTATTAACGCAAACAAAACACAAACAAAACACGGATCCTAATTTTAAAAAGAAAACACATGCTTCGATACGACTGAAGACTGGTTTCAATATCAGAAGTTTGTAGTTTTGGTTTCCCTGACAGACTATCTACTATCTTTAACAGATGTACCTAAGCAGAGGTCCATGTATAGTATAGCATGATAAATGAAACACAGGAATCTTTGTGTAGTATAGCATGATAAATGAAACACAGGAATCTTTGTTTTCTTTTGGGTAAATAACACTGATCTTCCTGGGTTTGAATAAAATATACTAAGTCTTACAAGTTTTGCCATTATATTATTTCTCTGTACTCCTTTCCACCCAACCATTATATTAGCACCCACTCTTTCATTCCCTTATTTTTCTTCTCGTCCTTTCCTATTTTTCTTTTCTTTTTCTGGGTCACCCATCAACCTAGCTTTTCCCATGACTGGCAGTGTACCACCTTCGATCAGCCCCATCCCACCCGTCTCTGTCTCTCTTGCTCTCCTCAAGCAGCCACCCACTGCACAATCACTTCAACACTCACATCTACTGCACCTCCACTAGCTCCTCCCCCTTACACACCATGACTGAACCCCCTTTTGCGTCCCTACCTCCCATGTCAAGCTTCATGAACTTCTAATGTGCAACCAACACACAGATTGATTGCCCACATTGTTACCATATATTTGTTTTGCTTTGATATTGGTGTCTTAATCTAATACTTCTCTGATATCAGACTGTATATGTGTATTTAATAGATATAGAAACGAGTCATTTACTAGTTGCGTGAAAAATTTCTGCAGCATATGGGTGGTGGACGTAGGGTATTGAATTGACCCTTTTGAGGTATTTAAAATCTGTTAAAACAGGAAAAACAAAAATAAATAAATATAAGAGTATATCAATAAACAATAAACAATAAAATTTTGGGAAGACTCTCCAAAAGAACTATACCCCTGCATGTCCCAATAAAAAGAAAAAAGATAAATGGACATTATGTGAAAACAACAAACAGAGAAATATACAAATTATGACTTAAAAGGAGAAGAAAGAGGAAGCCACCTTATTGGTAGACCGGAAGTATTAGAATACCTTGCTGAAGTACCGGTGAAGCAAGATCTCCTTTAGCAAACTAGACATGCCATAAAAATATAATAAACTTGAAATCACCTAGAGATTAGATGTAAAATGGATTTGGTACTAGAAACCTTCACCTAGATTTTTTTACAGCAATAGACTTCCCTAATCAAGGTTTTTTTTTTCTCTACGTGATAATATATCCACTTAAAATAAAATTCAAACTAAGAGTTTCACTGTTTCAATATAAATTGACCCATTCTCAAATAGCAGATGAAAATGATGCCCAATACCCAAACCTCGAGACAGTTCAAATTTCAGAGTATATTTCAAAAGCCATAGGTCTGTAGGGGATGTCAGTGATATCATCAGAAACATCAAACCAAATATTTTTATCTACCTCTGAGTGGTTATTGTTCAAGCAAAACATTTTTATTTTATTATATTATATTTTCAATTCTTACAACTATATTGAATTTGTTAAATTTGTTCGAGCAAGATACAAAATTCAGCATAAAAGAATACAGAAGCCATAAACTTACTCCTAAACACTCCATCATCTGGTAGTCAGCCCTACCCTGTACTGGAGTATGACCTTTTCGAGACTCCGAGAAATACCTTGTCCTGAAATGAATTTAGTTGTGGCACCTTGGTAAGTAAGGTACATGCATTACAATTGTTACAATTATCTCCTCCTTGGTACAATATGCTAATTAAAATTCTATAGTTTCTTACCATTCCTTATAACCTGGATCAATAGTGAAACCATACATGTCGACAGTGTCACAAATGGAGATAGCAAACTCAAGAGCCTTGAGACCAGGCTAGTTTGGAGCTTTGGTATATAATCTATATTTTCATTTTCTTTCTTTCTTCCGAATTGGAATTTACTACAGAAGACAAAACCCAAAAGTTGTGACTTAGTGAGACGTAGGTTGAAAAGAAAAAGAATAAAAGTCTCCTATTTTAGATGATCCACATTCCCCAAAACACAATTATAGTACATTGCAAATGCTGTCAAGTAAAGAGAAAACATATATTTGATTCTAACACTAGTAATAACAAAATCAAGAAACAGGACTTGATCTGTTTTGCTTATTAGTCATCCTTGACAATATCTAAAATTCAATACCATAGTCTGAATCCTATTACAAATAGCCAATTTATAGGCAAAAAAGAAAACCCTAATAAGAGTTACCAAAATTAGAACAATAAAATAAATAAATCTTAATTAATATTCTAATGTTGATAAAATTCCTAAAAATAAAACTTTCCAAAGTAAGCCTTTTCTTTCCTCATAACAAGGACTGATTATAATATAAAAATGTTGACTCAACCAAATGATATTAACTCAACCAAATGATATTGAAGATATCTGCTCAAAAAGTCGCAAGCACTATTATATTGAAGATATATGCCAAAAACCAAAACAAGGAAACAACGACAATGAAACATAGAAACCGCTAAAATGTAAGAATCAAGTTTAAACATAAGAAATAGGAAGGAACAAATCTAAGAATTACGATCTAGGGCTAAATCAGGATAGGCAAGTAGTGCTGGTTTGTCTTGGTCTCCATACACATTAACAGACACAGGACCATGGGCAGTTCGTACAATATGTTCCTGCAGTAAAAGCAAAATAAAATTTGGGCATTAGAAACACATCAATCATGGATAGGGAACAAAAAAAGAAGCATTAATCAACAGAGGAAGATAATTTCCAAGAATTCATCAAAATGGTAGAAAACTATAAAGATCCATCAAAAATTGAAAATGAGAACACCCTTGGTATAAACAATCATTTGTTTTGTGTACAGACCATTCAAATAAAGAAAAATTGCTGCTTACTAATCTTATTCCCAGAAAATGTGTGTGATCCCATTGTCATAAATAATAAAAATAAATATAAATATTTCAGGCCTGAACAAATATGTTTTTTAGTTTATGTTTTTAAATTTTTTTTAAATATTTTGTTCAAACCAAACACGTTTGTAATTTATGTTTTTCTAAAAATAAACAAAAACCAGTTTATAAAATTTTTGTAAACATAAACAAAAACGTAAATGTTACCAAACACTACCATAGTGTCCAAAAAAGTGTAAAACTGAGTGTGTTCCATTGGCCATATGTATGGGTATTTTTATTGTTATGAATTGTAAGAGTACTGGGTGAGTGATTTCCTAGTGTGCAGGTGTGTGCGCCTCTTAGGTTCGTGTCGCTTGCCGAAGTAGAGATGAAATTTTGGTTATGTTTGGCATGGGTTGCTTTTGCTATTTTAGTTACAAAAAAATAAAATAGGTTAAAAAATCAGTAAGACGAAATGTCATATCCAAATCATAATTATTTCATTTTTTCTCTCAAAAAAGTTAAAAAGTTCATCCCAAACAAGTTTTTTAGCCTCAGGCTAATTAACCTGTGGGGAAGTGGTTTGGAAATACTCTTCGGATCCTGGGAAACGTTGGTGATCCTCAGCTAGTCACCTGAAAAGATACAAGCACTCCGGTCGGGGGTGCCGGAATTAGCACTCCGACGGACAAGTTAGTTCAGACACTCAGGATAGCTTATTTACTAAGTTTCTGTGAAGTGATTCTTGCATACCTTTCTATAACCGTTGTTCCTGTATTTATACCTGTTCTTTTTGATCTTCGTGGATAGGGCCTAATTTTTGATCATTGTCCTTTCTTTCATTCGGAGATACTGATCTCCATCTATTCGGCTTTACTCACGTATTCGGCGTCCTAGTCACATAATATGAAGCCGGATAGTATCTAATTTTCGGAGCGCGCATCCTCCGACTCTTCTATTTATTCGGCTCCCACAATTGCCCCCCAAGCATTTCACCGACGACAGTTGGTTGGAGTGCTTGGTTTTGAATTCCTAAAAAGTTGGAGCCAAAATTCGGCGGTTGGCCTCATCCTCCTGCGGACATCTAAGTGCACCCCTTTCGATTGTCGTGTCGACTCTCCGCCCCTCGTACGTGTCTATTTATTGCGATTTAAAATTTCGAGGTCCTTTCCAGTATATATTTTATGATGCTCATCAGTGGATTGCCTTCTGGATCGTCCCCGAAACTCTCCTCCGATATCCTCTTCGTCCTTTGTAAGTTCTCTCCTCTCTTACTTCAAGGACTCTTTCTGGTTTATTCCTTCCTCGGCATATTCTCATAGACTAGGATATGGTGAAACATTTAAAAGACCTCCTCTCGTCAGATCGTATTGCTGGCTTTAAACGCCATTTCTCCATTCCTGATGATGTCCGTTTGTCGCTTGTGGCAGACAGCACTCTTAATATGGAGAGGGAGGATGAAACCACGATTGTCTTTCCTATTTTGTCAATTGCAGAGGGTGGAGTCCGTTTCCCCCTTCACCCGTTTCTTAGGGCTGTGCTTCGCCATTGAGGTTTAATCCCTTCCCAACCTAATGTGAATTTCTTTAGAGTCATAATGGAGGTTATAGCGCTCAACCGTCGCCTAAGAATTAACCTTGAAATTTCAGCCATCCGACATTGTTATGCCTTGGCTAAGTCTTCTGGTCGGCATGGGCGTTTCTTTCTTAGGGCCAAGGATGTCGACCATCAGTTGATAACTATGCTTTCCAGTTCTGGAAAACGAGTTGATGATATTATGGTCGTTGTCCAGGGTAACTGGGAATTTGGCGAAGGGGAGGATCACGCCGACCCTATTCCTAGACGGAGGGGCGAGCCAGGTGGCTGATTGCTTTCTCGCTTTTATTATTTGTTCGTTTTTGTTGTAAAGCCTCTTTTTTGAAATGTTACGGCTTGGCTTATGTAGGGAGAAATTTGAAGAAAGTTCTGTCTTCAACTGACGGCGCCATTCTTTTGGATATCGAAGTCGCGCTCAAATATTTCGGCCGTCGAAGTCTTCAGAAACAAGGCAGGGCGGCCCACATTCTACTTCGTTACGAGCCGACATATATGACCTTCTCAGCGGTGGAAAGTATCCTGGTTTCGGAGGGTGAAGATTCTCTCATCGCTCTCATTTTGTCCGACTTCAAAAACTTGAGGCAGGTTGGTTTTGAAGGGTCGGATTCAGAGCGGGGTGTAGCTAATGTTATCGAATCAGATCAGTCTGAAACCGAATCTGACGCGGTATTGAATTCGACCAATCCCCCATCCGCTTCGGGCCGAGGGGATCTTTCGCTTGACGGCGTTTTTCATGGTTTAGAGGATATTCCCGCTGCAAACCCCGAAGACATGACCGGGTTAAGCCTGACAAAACTTGCCAGGAAGGCGAATGCGGAAAGGTTGGCTGTGCGGCGAAGAGCGGAGGCCCTTCCGTTTGAAGCACCACCCGCCACCACATCTCAATTTTTCCTGCCTGCTAGCGAATCAGAGTCCTTCCGCGTTATTGAGGTGGAGGCGGCGGAAAATCAGGATGCCAAATCTACTTTGATCGTGCAGGCCGACCAAGAAGTCGAGGCAGAGAAACGCTCCGCCGAGTTTGAAGCCAGCGTAAAAGAACATAGCAAACGTCCTCGATTAGAGGGATCGGACGTGATCGTTCCTTTTATCATTCAGCCGATGATAAAAAACGTGTCGGTTTCTTCTGATGCATCGGCGCTTAAAGATCCAGAAGTCGCATTCAGTTTGGCTGCGTCCGTGTCTTTGCCGTCTGACAAGGAGGCTTTCTAGGTAGAAACGGATCTAGATGCGACAGAACTGGCCGCCCAATCAGCACTTTTGGTACATATTCAAACTTAGCTTCACTTAATCCAAATACTATTGAAGTTATGGTTTTAAATTCTTGTTTTACAGACCGTCGGATGGATAGCCGATATGGGCCATCGCCATCGCGACGCCGTCAAACAGATTGGTCATTTACGCGAGGAAGTTAAAGGTCAGAGGAGAAGGGCCGAGGTTGAAGCTTTGAGGGCGGACAAGGAAGCCTTAAGGGCCGACGCCGAGATGGAGAAGGCTCGTTGCGCGGATCAATTGAGGTCGGATGCCGAGAGGAAGGCGGACGTGAGCGAAGATGCGCTCAAGTTGGCCCAGAAAGCGATCTCCAAACTGGAGGCTGACTTGGCTAAAATGAAGACGGTGAAGGAATCAGCCGAATCGGAGTCTTCCAAAGTATTCAAGGTCGGGAAAAATGCTGGACTCGCCGAGTACGTGGACCAAGTCCCCAAGTTTGAAAATCGGGGATTCAAACATGGTTGGCACAAAGCCGTTGCTGCTGCTAACGCTTCATTGATTGTGCCAATACCATATGAGCAAGTGGATGTTGAGCCATTAGAGTCTGATTCCGATGGTTGATCCGGCCAACTGGTAGTTTTTAGGATGTCGAATGTATTTTTACGGTTTTAATTTAGTATTTTTCATCTTGTGCTACAGTCAGTGTTTGTTTTTTGAATGTATTTTTACGATTTTAATTTAGTATTTTTCATCTTGTAGCTTTGTGTTTGGTAACTTGAGTATATAAAATTTCTAGAGTTGTGCTCAACTGGCTAAGGAAGATGTTGTTGATGAATGTTATTGCTTTCGGCTGCTTAGCTTAGGTATTTGGCCGATCAGATTTGCCCTTACCTCAGCCAAGGCGCGAGCTTGGGAAGCCGAATGGCGTAACTCGTGGGCTGGCTGAGGCACACATTGATCGGCGCTTGCGCTTGAAAACATGGCGGACTAGATTAGTAAATCTGCCATTGCCTTAGCTAAGGCGCGAGCTTGAGAAGCCGAATGGCATAACTCGTGGGCTGGCTGAGGCACACATTAATCGGCGCTTGCGCTTGAAAACATGGCTGACCAGATTGGTGAATCTGTCCTTGCCTTAGCCCGGGCGCGAGCTTGAGAAGCCGAATGGTGTAACTC